GGCAGTTACACAATTTGTTTACAGTAAGGAGTTGTCTGACTTTGAGCATACTGCACATGGCGATTAGAAGTCATCATGGCAAGAGAAAACCACAGCTGGCCCCCTGCAGCAAACACAAAAACCAGAGAATGGTAGGGGAAATGTAGAGATAAAGGTAGGGTTTGTTTCTTATTACAAAAGAAAAAAATAACTCCTCAGTAGTCTTAACAAAAGAATGGAATATTTCACACTGGGAGAAAAGACATTGGGATACAAAATTTCAAGTGTTTTGACTCTAGCCCTGTCCCCATATCCTTCAAGAGCAGAGGGAGGAGACAGTTAAAGCAAACAAGCAATTCTGTAAAAATTACTTAGAAACCCTACAGATTTAGATTTTAAAATCTAACTTCTATTTTGTTTTTTTAAAATTCAATATATCAAAAGGCCTGCTTTAGTGACATGTTATTCCCACCAGAAAATAACCCCAATATCCCCTCTATCAGTAACATGCTCAAGTTGACCAGCTAACTCTTACCTGTAAACTCATGTGGACAAGTATATGTCTTTTAAACCAAAGCCATGGGGATCAAGTGACTGCTAGTAACATGTCATCTGTTAACTGACCAGTATTCATCTTCTCCAGAGGGTGGGCAGGGCACAGAAACCCTAAAGTGGTCATGAGGGACTAACCGCAAATCAACAACTTTTCAAGCACTACTTTCCTCATTCCTTACTCAAAAGGAGCTACTTGATTTCGATCTAGACTATTTGCCTCGAATTTGGTACCCCGTGACCTGTATGTTATTTTCCTTTAGCAAAACACACATAAGACACAAAACTATATATATAAACTTTTTGTTTTTACATTTTTTTTTTTTTTTGAGACGGAGTCTTGCTCTGTCGCCCAGGTTGGAGTGCAGTGGCATGATCTCAGCTCACTGCAACCTCCGCCTCCCAGGTTCAAGCGATTCTCCTGCCTCAGCCTCCTGAGCAGCTGGGACTAGATGCCTGCCACCATGCCTGGCTAATTTTTTGTATTTTTAATAGAGTCAGGGTTTCGCCATGTTGGCCAGGATGGTCTCAATCTCCTGACCTTGTGATCCATCTGCCTTGGCCTCCCAAGTACTGGGATTACAGGTGTGAGCCACCGCACCCCACCCTTGTTTTTACATTTAAATATAAAAATACTGCTCTGTTTTGTGTGATAAATAGAGGACCAAGCAAAAAGAACCTTTTCTTTTTTTAAGGTAGGGATATCCATCAGTTTATACTGAGCTTTGTGTTCTGAGGGCATTTCACCCCAAGCCAGGCTAGTTCCACACAAGCAAGAGACCAAGGCCATTCTCCTCCCTGATCCCCAATCCCTACCTTCTCTCTTAATCCCTAATTTTAATAGAAAGTTGGTTATAACCTCTTAAGAAACATTTCCACCACAAAGGGAAGTCCTAACCTAACCAGAGTTAAGTCAGGTCTTCCCCTCTCAGGTACTTCAAAGAAAAAGTCCCCATCCTGCAAACATGCACTCTGTTCCCATAGCTACGATTACTGAACAGGCACACCCCATTAAATGGAAGCAGTGGTTATGTTTCACCACCCACCTCCTCACTAATGTACTAAAAACCGTCAGTGATAGGGAAAAAAAGGAGGGTAAAGATGTGAAGAAATTAATTATGTGACCCCTCTATCCCAGCCAAACAAATAAAGCAAGATTGGGCACAAGGAATTAAAAAAAAAGACCTTGGTATTCCATCCTTTGAGTTACAATTAGGACAATTGGGAGAGGGGAAGAGTTGGAGTGAGAGGAAGAACTAGGAGGGGCTTGACAGCTGGAGGTCTAGTCCACTTAGTTTTTGTACTGGAAGGGCTCAACTCCGGTTTGAGAAGACACAGGCAGATGAGGGCTTCTGTCACCGAAAATGGGTCGCATTTGGCAGAAAGGCAGTGATCTTCAAAGTAACCCTTCTTCTCCTGGCCAACAGTCTGGGGAATGTGTATGCTGGCATTATGATGGGCTATAAGAGCAGAAAAGTCACTGATGTTGGAAGTTTCATGGAATCCGATTAGGTGCCAGGCCGGGCAAAAATGCAGACGTGGTACTGCTGTCACTTGCTTAGTTTCTTGATGGCCTCCTCAGTGTACTTCAGACCATTCTCCTCCCGCATGGCCTTGGTGCTAAAGTTGGTATGGCAGTCTGAGCCATTCCAGTCCCAGGAATGGGCTTAGGATCAAAGGTTGCTATCACTCTGAAGTCTTCACATACACGATGCAAGATGAAACAGGTCACCCAGAAATGATCTTCCATGCTGATTCCTTCACAGCGTCCAATGTGGAATTCCCACTGGGCAGGCATGACCTCAGCATTAGTCTCTGCAATCTTGACTCCAGCATACAAGCAGGTCCGGTAATGAGCCTCCACAATATCCTTGCCATAGACTTTGCTCCCATACCACAGTAATACGGACCCTGGGGCTCAGGGAGTCCACTGGAAGGCCAACCAAAGGGGTGCCCATCTGTCCCCATGAGGTTATATTCCTGCTCCATGCCAAACCACGGGTGCTGGTTGCTCACCATGTCCATTATCCATTTATAGTTGTGCCTCAAATTGGTCTCTGCAGGCTTTCAATTGCACTTGAAAACTTCACAGAATACCAGCTTGTGGAGGTCCTTGCGGAAGGGCTCCCAAAACATGGCAACAGGCATGACATACATGTCACTGTTAGAACCTTCAAAGTACTACAGCCATCAAAATTCTACTCAAGTAACTCTTCCACACTCTTGGGCTCACTGTCCAGGGTCTGGGACTTGCAGCACAGTCTTGCTTCAGTACCATCGACTCAGATATACATGGCCTGGACTTTCTCACACTGAGGCAGGGACATGTACACCTGCTTGATGCCTCTGTTTAAGTGGGAGCTTGCTGAGGTGGTCATGGTGGAAGGTGTTTTGGGCACTGAGCAGGCAGGTAGGTAAAGGTAGGCTGCGAGAGTGGGGTGAGGAGAGAGGAGGGGAGGCCGCTGTGCTGCTCAGAAACTCTGCTCTTCTCCCATTCTCAGCTCTACCTTTGTATCTTTTTAATTAAGACACTTAAATCTTTTGCTCATTTTTGAATTAGGTTGTCTTTTTGAAAAAATATTGATTTGTAGGGTTTTTTCTTTTTTAAAGAGATGGGGTCTTGATAAGTTATCTAAGCTTGAGTTCAGTGGCAATTCACAGATGCAATTATAGTGTACTGCAGCCTAACTCCTGGGCTCACATGATCCTCCTATCTCAGCTGCCTGAGTAGCTGGGACTATAGACGCACACCACTATGCCTGACTTATAGTTCTTGTAATCTGAGCACTAACCTCTCACTCTGAGGTTTATGTTTTCACTCTCTTTATGTTATCTTTTAATGAACAGAAGTTCTTAATTTTAATGTAGTAAAATTTATCAATCTTTTCTTTTAACACTGGCACTAGTCGTGACTAGTTTAACAAATCTTTCCCTATCCCAAAGTCATAAGGATATTTCCTGTATTATGTTTGAAAACTCTTAAGCCTTATAGATTAGCTTTTTTTTGGCTCTCCATATTTAAGTCTTTAATACATGTGGAAATGATTCTTGTGTGTGGTAGGAGGTATGTATGCATTTTTTGTATCAATGGTATATTATGTGTACATGTCCCAGCACTATTAATTAAACTGCTCATCTTTTCACTGCCGGTGCCAGTTTTGTCATAAATAATGTTTCCATATATGTGTGCATTTGTTTCTGGGCTTTCTATTTTATTCTGTCGGTCAATTTGTTTGTAAGTGTGCCAATTCTACACTATCTTAAATAATATAATATTAATATACTATTTTTTTTTGAGACGGAGTTTCGCTCTTTCACCCAGGCTGGAGTGCAGTGGCGCGATCTCGGCTTACTGCAACCTCCGCCTTCCGGTTTCAAGCGATTCTCCTGCTTCAGGCTCCGGAGTAGCTGGGATTACAGGCACCCACCACCACGCCAGGCTAATTTTCGTATTTTTAGTAGAGACAGGGTCTCACCATGCTGGCCAGGTTGGTCTCAAACTCCTGACCTTGTGGTCCGCCCACCTCGGCCTCCCAAAGTGCTGGGATTACAGGCGTGAGCCACTGCGCCTGGCCAAGTAATATAATCTTAAACTAAATTTTTGATACCTGACAAGGTAAACTGCTACACTTTGTTGTTTTTCTTTAGGAGTATGTTGGTAGTTTTAAGGCTTTTATTCTTCTATTTAAGGTTCTGCTAGGAACTGCATTGTCTCTGTAGATTGTTTTGGGGAGAATTGACATCTTTAACATATTGAGTCTTCCATTCCACGCACATTTATAAATCTCATTTATTTAGGCCTTGTTTCATTCATAAATTTGATTAATTATATCCTATAATTCTTGCTTTCCAATGTACCAATATTTAACATGCATTTATTTACTTTTTCTGGAGTCCCACAGAGGATCCCACAGTTTTAATATTTAATTACATTTCCATCTTGGGCAAAATGTTTGAGAGAGGAACTTTACATTACCTCTCGGCAGAATGCCAATGTTAAAGACTATCTAACAAGGGAGGCAGGATAAGGAAACAAGATTAGCTTCTCCTAAATTGTCTTCACTATTTTGTGGGAAGTTTGTTTCTGAAAGATCATATACATATTTTGAAGCCAAGTGGAAATTTTGTTATTGTGCTTTACAAACAAAGTACTTAAATACTTAATTGAGTAGTTAATTTATCATTTGGATTATCCACCATTCATTGTCCTCTGCCTGAACAGTACAACTGAAAACTGACTGAAAAGGGCTGATGTGACTACAGACATGAATATACAACTGAATGCTTTAAAGACGACTTCTCATTTTCAAAGAACTTGCTTATATTACAAAACTAGTAAAATAATCTAGCATTTTCAGAGAGAAAACAAAGAAAGAACAAAAAACTCTTAATATTTATGCCAAGTAATAAAAAGTATTTGACAGAAATGATATAGATACTGACGCTTCATCCTATTAGCTGTGGTAGGTTCAAGAACTGATATACTGGTAATTACAAAATATTCTGGAAAAATGAAAAGTATTCTCAAATGAGAGGAATAATCTGAAAGAACTACAAATTACCTGTAGAGTACAATTCATCATCCTTATTATGTAGTCAAACTGTTGATGGTCTAATATTGCCCGGTTTTGCTGGACATGCAAACCCAGCTCATCAGTGAGACACTGTCTTGCTGCCTTTCCTTTAAGGGCTCTGAGTGCAGCAGGAAGGGTCTGAGGACAAGAGAGGTACAAATGACCAAATGGTACCACTGGGGAAAACAATAACTTTCAAACAATCATCTTGAAAATTCAAATGCACCCTGTAATTTATTTAACACAGTTATTAATAAAATTAAACTCCTAGGGAAGAGGTGATTTATTAGTAAGACCAATGATAAAATAGATTTGTAGTTATTTTTATACGTAAACCAGCAAGAAATATAAGAGAATTATGTGATAAATGGAAAAACATTTAATTTCACTTTTTTTTCTTCAACTTAATAAAACTTTGGTTACCAAATTGACTGTTGCTTCAGATTATGAGTCAAAGCCACAGATACGTAAGACATCTTCTTTCTATAACTAGTCAATTTTCCATGGCAAGAACAGAAAGAAAAAATAAAACAATAAGAAATACAAGTGATTTCATACTTTTAAACTGGTTGGCTGCTTAATCACTATTCAGCTTTAATTTATGACTGTAAAGTTCTACAATCTCTTTTCATTTAAATATCATAAAAAAGGAAAGAAAAAGGACTCGGAGTTGCAAAAATACATTATCTCTAGGTGTATGCATTAAAACTCTTTTCACTTTACAACAAGAACATCCATAAAGATGCCTCCTTCAGTTCACCATGTAGGATTTAGTTAATTTACTTCACATATAATAATAATAAGCTTATTTAGCTAAAAAATCAGAACAAAGGAGAAAATAAGAAGGAAGTAGAAGGGCATGATATCACTAAAGGCAGGCATAAGAAATAGGATGTGGAAGTTGAAAGCAAGAGAAGTGAAAGACTCCAACTATAAGAAAACATAGAAACCAAAAAGCACAAAATGTAAAGGGCACTGGGTCAGTTAGGGTAAAGGTAAACATTTCTATAAGCTTTACCAGTCCCTGAAAATAGATATTCAGAACTATGACAATGAGTCAGTAAGAAAGGGTTATATTATGTTCAGCATGTTTCACTGAACAAGGCAAGAAAACATGCTCTAAGGAGGCACATTTAAGTTGAATACTACAGTTCTTATAATCCATTACATATTCTAACTAGATTCTTTGCAATACATAAAATTATATTAAAATGTTAAGTTTTGGCCAAGCGTGTTGGCTCATACATGTAATTCCAGCACTTTGGGAGGCTGAGGTGGCTGGATCACTTGAGGCCAGGAGTTCGAGACCGGTCTGGCCAACATGATGAAACCCCATCTCTACTAAAAATACAAAAATGAGCCGGGTACAGTGGTGCATGCCTGTAGTCCCAGTTACTCAGGAGGCTGAAGCAGGAGAATCACTTGAATCCGGGAGGTAGAGGCTGCAGTGAGCCAAGATCATGCTACTGTACTCCAGCCTGGGTGACACAGCAAGACTCTGTCTCCAAAAATAAAAACTAAAATAAATAAAATGTTAAGTTTCTAAGTAATATGCCAAAATAGTGTTTAGTGAACAATGTTTAAAAGTTTGAGAGAAAAAATTACTATGAATATTTTTCTGCTGGTCATATAATTAAGCTTGGCCCAACAGCTTTGTATCTTAGACACTATTCATTTAAAATGATCCAAACAATGAGAGGAGACTTTATTAGGAAAAGGGACAGAATTAAAGAAGAGAAGCTGGCCGGGCACGGTGGCTCACACCTGTAATCCCAGCACTTTGGGAGGTTGAGGCGGGCGGATCATGAGGTCAGGAGATCGAGACTGTCCTGGCTAACATGGTAAAATCCCGTCTCTACTAAAAATACAAAAAAATTAGCCAGGCGTGGTGGGGGGTGCCTGTAGTAGTCCCAGCTGCTGGGGAGGCTGAGGCAGGAGAATGGCATGAACCCGGGAGGCGGAGCTTGCAGTGAGCCGAGATTGTACCACTGCACCCCAGCTCGGGCAACAGAGGGAGACTCCGTTGAAGAAAAGAAGAGAAAGCTGGTAACTTCAGCATGTAAATCTGAAAGGGAAATGATAAACGCTTACTTGGGAAAGATGATATTTCATTACCTTTTCAGTTTCCAAAATTTTATTTTCAAATATGAATGAGATGCAGTTTCTGACAACTTCTAGTCTCTGTGCACTGTTGAAAACTGTTGTCACCTTGTCCATTATTGAAACTAGTAAAAGGATATAAAGAAAGCACAAATAAATTAAACTCCTTTGGTAATTACAAAAGCAAAGAGACTATTACTTTAAGACTGTAGGTTGAGTGTGGAGGCTCACGCCCATAATTCCAGCAATTTGGGAGGCTGAGGTGGGATGATCCCTTGAGCCCAGAGGTTTGAGACAAGCCTGGGCAACACAGCAAGCCCCTTCTCTACAAAAAATACAAAAATTAGCCAGGCATGGTGCCTTGCACTGTAATCCCAGTGACTCGGGAGGCTGAGGTGGGAAGATCACTTGAGCCCAGGAGTCCAAGGCTGCAGTGAGCTAGGACAGCACTACTATACTGCAGCTGGGTGACAGAGTGAGACCACATTTCTTATTAGAAAACAAACAAACAAAAACTATTGATATGACCTACACTTTATTTTTTCTCTTATTACAGAGCATTGAAAATATTCCACATCATTATTTTGATTACATGTTGCAGTGCTGAAGTATCAGGCTAGTCGATTAATAATTTCACAGGATAGATTCTAATGAGACACTTAACTTTTATGCGAACTAATTCACATTGCAAAGTAAAGTTATATTAAACAAGGGCAAACATCTATTTGAAACTTTGTAACTAGTAATATTGTTAATATTTCTAAGATATTACTAAAGAAAAACTACATTCCACAAAATATTAGATATTACACATTTGAGGAGAGGTGACTTGAAGGAAAGAAGTAGTGCAAAAAAAGAGAAATAATCATGATCAATGAACTGCTATACTGGCTTAGGAAAGTCACTTTTTAGTCATGTAAACTCAGCACCTTTCACCTTTTACCACAGGGTTAGAAAATTCTAATGTATTACCTAGGCTACTAAGCTGGTTACCTAAATAAATTTAACTTATTAAAATAATATTAGAAGGATATAAATCAAAGTAGTATTTATACAAAATTTATACTTTCACAAAGAACTATACTATGTCATTTGTTTAAATGAGGTAGTATCAATAATTCTTTTTTTTTGTATAAATTTAAGGGGTACAAGTGCAGCCTTGTCACATGGACGTACTGCATAGTGGTGGTCTGGACTTTTAGTGTAGCCATCAACCAGAATAATGTATATTGTAGCCATTAAGTAATTTCTCATCCCTCAACCCCTTCCCACGCTCCCAGCCTTCTGAGTCTCCAGTGTCTTATTATTCCACACTTAATGTCCATGTGTACACATTACTTAGCTCCCATTTATAAGTGAGAACAGTATCAATGGTTCTCAAGCCAAAAAGACTACTTATACTTTAAGGCTACTCTTTGGATTCTAAAGGCCCAATCCCTTTACCTTCTCCCATACCTAAGAAGAAAGACTATTATATTTTACTCATTAGTATTCCTTTCATCTCATCAATACCAAACCTATATTCTTCAAATAATGTTTTAAACTTTTTTGTTTTTTGAGACAGAGTTTCGCTCTTGTTGCCCAAGCTGGAGTGTAATGGCGCGATCTTGGCTGCCTCCTGGGTTCAAGCAATTCTCCTTCCTCAGCCTACTAAGTAGCTGGGATTACAGGCATGCACCACTACACCTGGCTAATTTTGTATTTTTAGTAGAGACAGGGTTTCTCCATATTGCTCAGGCTAGTCTTGAACTCACGACCTCAGGTGATACGCCCACCTTGGCCTCCCAAAGTGCTGGGATTACAGGCATGAGCCACCGCACCCAGCCTTAACCATTTTTATAAAAATAATTATATGCTTACAATAAGGTGCAAACATAATACAAAGAAGATCCTTGTACTCGTCACCCAGCTTCCCTCTATGGTGACATCTTTCATAATTATGTTTTATTAGAATCAGGAAAACAACTGGCACAATACAATGAATGAGACTATAGCCCTTACTTGAATTTTACCAGTTTCTTCAAATAATTTTTAATCATGTAACATTAATTTTCTGGTTAAACTGATTATTTCGCATGACTTTTCTCTCTGAAATGCTCATTCATAATTGTGGGCTCTGGTGCTTCCCACACACATAGGTTGGTGGCATAAACTGAAAATCTATCCATATTAGAATAGAAAACTTACAATCTCCAATAACACATACTTCATTGAGAGAGCAACATCTTTATGTTTATAAACTTTTAATTCTAAAATATCTTTAGCAGTATTTTAAATTTTCTTTAGGCTGAGTTATTAGGAAACATATTTTCTTTTTTTTTCCTTTTTTTTTTTTTTTTTTGTAAGACAGAATCTTGCTCTGTCACCAAGGCTGGAGTGCAGTGGCACGATCTTGGCTCACTGCAACCTCTGCCTCCCGGGTTCAAGTGATTCTCCTCCCACCTTAGCCTCCCAAGTAGCTGGGACTATAGGTGCATACCACCACGCCTGGCTATTTTTTGCATTTTTAGTAGAGATGGAGTTTCACCATGTTGGCCAGGCTGATCTTGAACTCCTGACCTCAGGTGATCCGCGCACCTTAGCTTCCCAAAGTGCTGGGATTACAGGCGTGAGCCATCACACCCAGCCAGAAAACATATTTTCTTATAATAAATATGTTTACTATCTGGAATTTTTTTCCTTTGGAGAATCCAACTAATTCACATTTTATACATGCACCTAATTAACCAACTTCAAAATATATCAAGAAAAACAGGAAAAACTGAGAAATAGGGAATTCTGCTATTATAATGGGAGATTTTAATATATCTTCCTCAATAGCTGAAAAAAGGGATAAAAGTTAGTAAAGGAAGACAACTCACAGATTGGGGAAAAATTTGCAAATAGTATATCTGGTAGGGGACTTATCTGTAGAATATACAGAGTATGCTTACAACTCAGTAATAAAAAGGCAAATAGCCCAATTTCAAAATGGGCAAAGAGACAGTGAAATGGCCAATAGTACATGAAAAAATGTTCAGTATCAGTGGCTGAAATTATAACCCTTATACACTGCTGACAGAAATCTAATATGGCACAACCGCTTTGGAAAATGGTTTGGCAGCTCCTCAAAACATTAAACATAGAATTACCATATGACCCAGCAATTCCAATCCTAAGTATACATCCAAGAGAACTGAAAACATATCTACACAAAATCTTGCACATAAATGTTCACAGCAGCATTATTCATAATAGCCAAAATGTAGAACCAACTCAAATATCCATCAACTGATGGATAAATAACCAATGTGATATATATCCAAACAATGGAGTATTATTCAGACATTTAAAAAGAAACGAGGCCAGGTGCAGTGGCTCATGTCTGTGATCCCAGCACTTTGGGAGGCCGAAGCGGGCGGATCATGAGGTCAGGAGATCAAGACCATCCTGGTTAACACGGTGAAACTCCGTCTCTACTAAAAATCCAAAAAAAATAGCCAGGCGTGGTGACAGGTGCCTGTAGTCCCAACTACTCAGGAGGCTGAGGCAGCAGAATGGCGTGAACCTGGAAGGCAGAGCTTGCAGTGAGCCAAGACGGCGCCACCGCACTCCAGCCTGGGCGACAGAGCGACACTCCATCTCAAAACAACAACAACAACAAAAAAGAAACAAAATACTGACACATGCTACAACATAGATGTACCTTTGAAATATTATACTAAATGAAAGAAGCCAGTTATAAAAGATTACATATTGTATAATTCTATTAATATAAAATGTCCGGAATAGGTAAAGCTATGAAAATATAAAGTAGATTACAGTATAATGCTGAGGAGGAGATGGTTTGGGAAGGAAATGGGGAGTGACTGCTAATAGATGGGAGGTTTCTATTTAGATTATAAAAATATTCTCACCAGGTGCAGTGGCTCACGCCTGTAATCCCAGCACTTTGGGAGGCCAAGGTGGGCAGATCAGGAGTTCGAGACCAGCCTGACCAACATGGAGAAACCCTGTCTCTACTAAAAATACAAAATTAGCTGGGTGAGGGGGCGTATGACTGTAATCCCAGCTACTCAGGAGGCTGAGACAGGAGAATTGCTTGAACCCAGGAGGCAGAGGTTGCGGTGAGCCAAGATCACATCATTGTACTCCAGCCTGGGCAACAAGAGTGAATCTCTCTCTCTCTCTATATATATATGCTCAAATTAAATAGTGATAATGGTTGAATGAGAGTGTGTAAATATACTAAAAATCAAGGAACTGTACATTTTACATTGGTGAATTTACGGTATGTAACTTATATCTCAATAAAGCTGTTATTAAAAAAAGAAAATATTCTATAGTGGCAGCGGTTGGGTTATGATTACCCTTTTTGGGAGGCAGTGAATGAAACAGGGTTTCGAAGTATTGATAATGCTCTGATTCTAGCTACAGGAGTTTGTTCACTTTGTGAAAATTCATCAAATTGTACACTTTTCCTTTTTGGGTCTTATATCTTTATAAAAAGTTTACTCTTAAAACAGACAGACAAATACATACCAACAGGTGGACCAGCTGGCACAACACATTTCTTTTCTATTCTTGTGGCAGGAGGTGCATTCTGGTTCTTAGCAAGGTTTTCCTGTATTAATTCCTGAACCCGGGCTTCATTAATCTTTGGGAAAGGAAGAATATGAACTCGCAAGTGGGATCCTTCTGTTGGCCGCGGAACTTTCTGGAATGCCATATGAGGGTTTGGATTCTCCTGTAGTATCAGACATAGGTAAAATTATTCCAAGTTAAAATAACAATGGCAGATCACCAGGAAGGGAGTGGGAGCTTACAGAGACATGAGCTGGGTGGTTATACATACATTCATACATACGCCATAAAACATGAAGTACCAAAATCTTACTTCTTCTTACATGCTCTATCAGCAGCATCTGATACAGCTGGACATCTGTCTTCCTCTTCCACGAACACTTTCTTTACTTGGTTTCTAGGTCTTCTTGCTACATCTTTGTCTATTTCTCATCTCCCTACTCTCTTTAACAATGTGAATACCTCAGGGCTCAGTCCTTGGGTCTTTTTTTCTGTTAACACTCCTTCCTTGGTGATCACTTCCAGTCTCCTATCTTTACCATAAAAACACCAACAATTCGCAAGTTTTTTTCTTTAAACAAGCTTTCTCCTAAACCCCATACCCACATGTTTAACTCTCTATACAATATTTTCAGTTGGATTTTTTAAAAAATTCTACACCTATGTTGTCCAGAATGGAGCTCTTACTCTTCACCCACCTCTATCCCTGCTTTGTTCAGTCTTCCTCACATCAGTATATGGCACATTTATCTTTTCCCATCACTTAGGCAAAAAGCTTGGAGTTATCTTTAATGCCATTCTCTAACACCCAATTATCCGTTCCTCTGCAGATCTGGCGGACTTTACCTTTAAAATGTTTACAACTTGGCCAGTTTCACAACACTTTGGTTCAAGTCAACACGTCATGTTACAGCACTACAACAGTCTCCTAGTTCCCCTGCTTCCACCTGTACTCCTTCATTCAACATTGCAGACTACGTGATCTAGTTAAGAGTATGTCAATTCATCACATAACCATTCTATTCATTCCAATGGCTCGTCATCTCACTCACAATAAAACCCAAGGTTCTTTTTTTCTTTTTTTTTTTTTTGAGATGGAGTCTCGCTCTGTCGCCCAGGCTGGAGTGCAGTGGCCGGATCTCAGCTCACTGCAAGCTCTGCTTCCCGGGTTTACGCCATTCTCCTGCCTCAGCCTCCCTAGTAGCTGAGATTACAGGCGCCCGCCACCTCGCCCGGCTAGTTTTTTGTATTTTTTAGTAGAGACGGCATTTCACCGGGTTAGCCAGGATGGTCTCGATCTCCTGACCTTGTGATCCACCTGTCTCGGCCTCCCAAAGTGCTGGGATTACAGGCTTGAGCCACCGCGCCTGGCCAAACCCAAGGTTCTTAAAACAACTTACGAAGCCCGACAAGATCTGGCCTTTCTATGTGATGTGTTCTGCCATGATTTCTTTCATTTTTTCTGCTCTAGACACACAGAACTTCTTGTTCCTGCCTCAAAGCCTTTGCACTTAACTGTTCTCTCTGCCTGGAATGACTGTGCCCCATGAATCTGTACAGCATCCTCCTTCCTTTCTTGCATTTCTTAGCTCAAAAGCCACCTTTCCTGATCACCTTATCTAAAATTATACTCTCTCCCCCAACACACTCCCTATCCCTGTTATATTTTTCTCTATATCACTTATCACTGTCTCACATACTTTACATTTTATTTAACTTGTTTATTGTCTATCCTTCTCTCCAGAAAATAAAGCTCTATGAGGGTAGATGTATACCTACTGCATCTAGAAACTGCCTGGCACATAGCAGGCACTCTAAATTTCTTCCTACTGCATCTTAATGAGCGGGACACAATGTTGAACACACATAAGAATTGCAAGAATTGAATTAAATGTGTCAGCTAATACTTTTATAGACTCTTGGGGTTGGCATGAACTTTTTAGTCATCTAGTTAAGCAGGATTAGATCTCAAACACTCCAGGTAGAATGGAATCCATTCTTTTATAAAGTTCTCTAGGGAAGGCTGCTTTACAACTATTCTTGACCAATTCTAACACTTACCCTTTGCAGCCAGAAAATTCCTTATTCCCACTGAACCTATGTTATTGATGCATAGATTAAACTCAATACTATCCCATACATCCTCTTGATAGTTAAAATGGCCAACTGCCATCACCTTTGAGGGCTGCTCCCCACAATTCTTTTTGGTTATATGGCCCAGACCTGGATAAAGAAAACGTTGGGCTGAGGCAGATGATATAGTTAGTATGTCTCAGCAATATAACAGAAACACACTGCTTCCTCCCACTGCTTTAAGTGTCAAAACACATGGGTTCCAGTTCTTGCTCTACTCCTTATTATGTGATGCAGGACAAACAACTTTGCCTATGTTATATACTTAAGCTTATCTTATATAAGGCTCCTCAGAAGGTGAAATCAGATTTAAAATCTGTTCTTGCCAAAGTAGCCCTCATACATGCTCTGTATTTCTCCCCCATATCTAGCAAAGACAGGGAAAAATAAGTAAGTAAATCCTTAGTCCAACTCTTAGTAATCACTCTTTCTGAATCAGTGTTGAAAAACTGTTTTAGAATTCTGTCTGGCTTTAACACCAAGTCAACATTTAACAGTCACTGGCCTGTAGTGTCTAAAACTGCCCTTTTCAAAAAGTAGTATTTTTGTTCTCTGTTCTTTAGGCATGACTCTTACCCACATACTGTCTTCTCAAAAATAATAAATACCAATTCTCTAAAATATATTGGGTAGATACCTTTTTTTCAGGCGGGTCAGGTAATTCATGTGGATCTTGAGGTCTGAATTATTTAAAGTATATTCATTACTTTGGTTTCTATTTATACTTTCTTTATAATAAAATTAAAACTCTAAATATATTTCCCATGAAGTAAATATTATAATAAAATTTAAAACATAGAAAAATAAAAGTAGAAATAATCTTAGTAACACCAGTATTTTTTCTAGTTTTATATATATATATATTTTTCTCCATCACTACATTATCTGTCTTGTCTTGTTCCAAAAATGACTTGCGGTGGTTTAGAAAAAGCAGGATGCACTGGCCAGGCACAGTGTCTCATGTTTATGTAATTTCAGCACTTTGGGAGTTCGAAGTGGGCAAATCACTTTAGTCCAGGAGTTCAAGACCAGCCTGGGCAACATAGTGAGATCCCATTTCTACAAAAAACAAAAAATTAGCCAGCCATGGTGATGCCTGCCCGTAGTCCCAGCTACTCAGGGGACTGAGGGAGGAGGATAGTTCAAGCCTGGGAGATGGACGCTGTGGTGAGCTGTGATTGCACCACCACACTATAGCCTGGGTGACAGAGTGAGACCTTATCTCAAAAAAGGAAAAAAAAAAAAGAAAAAGAAGGATGCACACATCACTTTTAGTCAAAATCTTTAAAGAGTTGGTCCTGTAATTTGGTAAGTTCATCCTAAACTTTATAGGGACATACAAAGACCAAAAATAGTCAAGGAAATTCTGAAGAAGAGTTAAGTGGGAGAGTTAAGATTTCCAGGTATCAAAACTTATATAAACCTTTAATAATTAACACAGTACAACAACTGTTATTAGTGAAGAGTTAAAAGGACGAATGGAATAGAACAGAGAGTCCCAAAACAGGACTATGTGAGAAAATATGATAGGTGGCATGACAATTCAGGGGGAAAGGTTAGATAATTCAATGAGAGAGGTAGTTTAACAAAGTATTTTTAGTTCATAATCTCTGATTTCAGAACGCCTGGTTTCAAACCCTAGCTTGGCCACTTACTAGTACTGTGACCTGGTGCAGTGTCAATTCACTTACCCCTGTGTTTTAGTTTTCATATCTGTAAGGAAGATAATAATATAGTACCTACTTCATAAGGTTCTTATGAGTATTGAATGAGCTGTTACAGTAAAGCTGTTAGAACACACACACACACACACACACACACACACACACACACCCCATCCCAGAATGAATCTAAAGTCTGTTTTCCAAAAATTTTGGCTACATTCATTTTAAAAGTATTTATTCTCTTATTCTCTGCATATTCTATGGCATGGTACCATGCTTCTGTAACTAAAGCCATCTCTTTCTTCCAAGATTTCCATCATATTACCAACTACTTATATTTGAGTAATTATAGTAGTAGTATCTGATATGTTTTTTGTTTGTTTTTGAGACAGAGTTTCACTTTGTTGTTCAGGCTGGGGTGCAGTGGTGTGATCTCTGCTCACTGCAACCTCTGCCTCCTGGGTTCAAGTGATTCTTCCGCCTCAGCCTCCCAAGTAGCTGGGATTACAGGTGTGCACCACCACGCCCAGCTAACTCTTTTGTATTTTTAGTAGAGATGGGGTTTCACTATGTCGGTCAGGCTGGTCTCGAACTCCTGACCTTGTGATCCGCCCGCCTCGGCCTCCCAAAGTGCTGGGATTACAGAAATGAGCCACCACGCCCAGCCCTCCAATAAGTTTTAAATAGAAAACATTTATGTAAAAAAGATGTTGTTATAAGTTATTAACAGTCTTCCCAGAAGCAATTAGAAATATTGTAAACCAAATCTATACACAATTTAGAATTATAAGCATTTAAAAGATCATGTTAAAACAAAGTTCAAAGTTGAATATCTGTAGTTGTATAGATATTTTACACCAAAATGCAGATTAGGGGTTAACTTTGTTAAATTATGACATATTTAGCTGTGTTTAGAAGATTCGAAAAAGACTCATGCCCCAGAATCTAATAGTATTTGGTTTTCTGGCTCCTGAGTCTGTATACTACTGCCCTCTAATGGGCAGCATGATAAATGTAAAGGACCACATTTGCCACCTCGAACCTAATTTGGTCACAAAATGACTCTTGAGAAGACAACAGCAATGAGAGGAGGTTTAGGGTAGGGCTCACTGTATTCTGCATATACTTAAAAACATCTGCTCTTACTTGTAACACAAAACGTGTTTGGACTGGTCCCTTGAAGGTCACCAAGCTCATTAAAAGCTACAGCCCAATTTTGTGTTGAATCTCCTTGTTGAAATAAGGAAATCCATTATTTTCTGACAGTACAAAGCAGCAGCCAAATTTTCATCTCTGATCCCAGAGAAATGCAAATATAAAGTAATAAACAAGGGCCAGACAACCAAACACTTACAGTGAATCTGGC